ACTGTCAACAACTTTCAGTACTGAAAATCTTATAGTATATACGTGACGTAAAATATAGATGTTCACTACTGACAGTGAATATCGGAATGCAGCCAGTATATTACTCGAGTCGAATGATTTGAAATAGCATTGAAGATCGTGAACATGTATTACCCGTCGAAAATATCCGTCACTACATAGTTCAATGTTTTGTTCACGTAGAGGCGCTAGTAAACGAGTTTCATGTAAAACGCCGCATGTCTGTCTTCAGTTTTCTCTCTGTTTTCTCTCTGTCTGATTTTAGAGGCAATTAAAGTTCAATTAGTTTACAACTTTTGGAATTAGGGGATCGAGAGCTGTCATTTATCAAGAAGAAAAATAAGAAATTCACTATTTTCGCGTTCTGAGGTAGTACTGTCATTCTCTCCCCATCATTGCCATCGACTTTCGATTTCTTTCACATTGATAATAGAAACTAAATGTTTACAAGGTGTATTCCAAGCTGACAGAATGGAAATAGAATTAATTGAATTGAAAGATATAAAGGCCGTACCGGACATAATACATCTTTATCCGGAGCGAGTGAAATCCGAGTGTACGCCACTTGTGATTGACAATGGTAATTTGTAATGTCTTTGTAGTATCACTCTTTTGTTACAACAATTGTCATTTTTGAGCAAAAGAACAGTGAGAGTTCAATTGAATAAAGATATGAAGATATTCAACATATCTAACATATAGCTAGATATAGCTAGATTTTATTTCTCTACAATTAGCTGTCGGTATGTCAAAATCATATTTTTTATAAATATTACAAAATTTTAATGATTGCAAAACATTTAAATCATTGTTTATTTTCTGAAAAACTTGGGTTTTTGAGTTATTATTGTTATAGCAAATGAGCGATATAGTCTAATTATGTTGCACATTCCATAAATTAAACAATGCTGTTTGACATTAGGGTCCTACAATTGTAGAGTCGGTTGGGCTACTGAAAAGGAACCACAGTTGATATTCAAGAATCTTATAGCAAAACCAAGGAAGGAACGTGGCAAGAAAGATGGAGAACCTCAAGTAGGGAATGACATAGCAAACATCGAAGCTGTTCGATTTCAATTGAAGACTCAATTCGATCGGAATGTAGTGACACATTTTGAGGCCCAAGAACAGATATTTGATTATACTTTCACACACATGGGTATTGATACAGAGGGTAGCGTAAATCACCCAATTATATTAACAGAAGCATTTCTGAATCCCAACTATTCTCGTAACTGTAAGTAGATAGCAATTTATGTTGCCATTTTTAATTTTTAATAAATTTCTATAAACCCTACATGTTAAATATACATTTCAGTGATGGCAGAATTATTATTTGAATGTTATAATGTACCATCGGTGGCATATGGAATCGACTGTTTATTTTCGTATCAGCACAATAATTGCCCACCTGATGGTCTGATAGTTAGCGTAGGTTATCATACGACTCACATAATACCGATATTGGATGGGAAAGCGGATGCCATGAACGCGAGAAGGATCAACGTTGGTGGATATCATATCACGTCGTACATGCATAAACTCCTTCAATTGAAATATCCAGTACACGTCAATGCAATAACGCTTAGTCGAGCAGAGGTACATATCATATATTACAGTGAAATGAAAGAATAAAGAGTGGATATCCATATTTCGTATTTTGTATTTTTCAACAATTACTAAATATCTGTTTCATAATCGCCAGGAGTTGATACACGAGCATTCGATGATTGCTTTAAACTACCAGGAAGAATTATCCAAGTGGGCAGATGTAGATTATTATGACACACATGTTTTAAGAGTGCAATTACCATATATTGCACCCACTACTGCTCCTGGTCTAACGCTTGAGCAACAAAAAGAGAGAAAACGGGAATTAGCACGGCGACTGATGGAAATTAATGCAAGAAAGAGGGAGGAAAGAGTTGGTATTCATAGTTTTATTTATATGTAGTATCATTACTTATATGCGATGTTTAATTATGCATCTATTTACAGTTAGCAGAAGATGAAGAGCAACTTAATCAATTGCTAGCAGTCCAAGATCTTCTAGAAGAAGGTGAAATCGATGAATTTGGCCGAGCATTGAAATCCTACTCTCTTGCGAACGAGGCTGATTTAATAAAAATGATTAATAATTTACAAGCAAAAGTAGAAAGGACTAGACAGAAAATCGTTGCTGCTAATTCACAAGAGGAAAATATTATAATGGAAGAAAAACCTAAAATTAAATCAAGCCTTCAACCTAAGGATCAGCAAGATTTTGATGAATGGATTGCTGGGGTTAGAAAAAAAAGGTAATTTCTCAAACAATTTTATAAACTTTAATTAATAAAATAATTATATACAACTGTATATCCATTGTGTATATATTTATCTATTAAGAAATTATTAAATCTTTATTTGTTATAGACAAGATATATTAGATAAACGTATGGCAAAGAGACAACGGAGGCAAGACATGGCGAAGCGAAGAACAGCCGCCGCACAGGAGAGGATGCGCATAATTAGCCAATTAGCGAAAAAAGAAAAGCGCGATGATGATTTTGGTATGCGAGACGAAGACTGGGACGTGTACAAAGTTATAAATAGGGTATATACCTTCTTATCTGCGAAGTTATGCAAATTGATATTTTATTTAAAGATGTGTTTTATTTTTTGTAGGAAGGTGGCGATTCAGATTCGGAATTAGAACAGGAGAAACTGTTGGAATTGGAAGATGTTTTACGTCATCACGATCCAGAATTTGATAGTGCCGGATCTAGCGTTCCAATGGTTCCTGGAGAAACTCATCAGCTTCATGTAGGCGTAGAACGTCTACGGGCGCCAGAATTGTCGTTTCAACCGTCTATGATTGGTTCTGTAGAAGCTGGGATTGCCGAGACAATTGAATTTGTTTTAAAACAGTACACTCCTGATGAGCAAACGCGTCTTGTGAGCAATGTGTTTCTTACCGGTGGATCAACAGCTTTCCCAGGATTATTGGAAAGATTAAAACGTGAATTGCGCGAAATGAGACCTTTCGGATCGAACTTTCAAGTGAATATTGCGAAAAATACCAGCTTGGATGCCTGGTACGGTGCAAGAGATTTCGGTCTAAATGGCAATTTTCCTGAATATTTGGTCAGCCGCAAGGAATACGAGGAGAAAGGTGGGGAGTATTTCAAAGAACACTCGACAAGTAATACTTATACCCGATCGCCCGATCCCTTGCCGATGATACAAGTGCCTGTAACATCCGAGCAAGTAATCGTGGAGGATGCCGTGGTTGATGTGGAAATTGAATAAAGGTATTTAATTCGCAAGTTTTAATATGTACATTTACTTTTTTTTATTATGTGTTTATACTTATCGAACTAGTTAAATATAATTAAATAAAAAAAGCATATATATGTGAAACATTTCAAATACTTACCTTGTTGGCAAGATTTTAGCAAATATAAAGCTTATAAATGTATAAAATACAGTTCGACCATGGTATATACGAATGATAGGTTTTTATTATTGTATGGATATTAGCAAAAGATATGACCAACTTTTGTTCATGGATACCTACTTTATTACACAAGTATTTTTGTTTGTTCATTTTATTACGAACAAACTACATTGTAGTCTGTTTGCTGATCACAATATACAGTTCCCAAACATCGCATTTCGCCATTCAACACAATTACGCGGGATACGTTTTACTTTTCTTATTTTTTTCGAGGACAATCGACATCGGCTTCTGGGCGTTTTTCGTGTAGCCTAAAAAATTATGAAAGTGATCCCTCACCTTAGCGATAAGATTGATTTTACAGCAACCTCAGTTACAAATCTCCGATCTCGGTCCGCGAGAGCTTAAGCTAACATCACAATATAATAATACACTGAAATCATCGAGGCCCCATAGGCAGTTACAACTAACACTACTAATTCTTGCGCAACGTATTAATAAAGGAACCCATACCGCGATGTAACGCTTCAATTTTCGCGGCTGCTTGAACTTAATCTGACGTAGAACGAAGAAAGAAAAACTCATATCGTGCGCGATGACATCACAAACTCTTAGATCACAAGTGCACAGCATTTGTTCATAGGGCATATTTGATCAAGTTAAAGAAAAAACAATTCTGTGTTTTACACAATATTGCGTACTCACGATGCACAAAATACAAACGTGATGTACACATCACTATCATGTATAAGATATTTTTTTTTAGAATCTTCTGCATAAAATACATATTTTAGTTTTACATATAGGCAACATGCCGAAATAAGTTGAGATATATATAAATACTTTCTATTAAAACAGTACAACATAAATCTAATATTAAAAGCGTACAGTGTTCCAAATATTTGCAAACGAAAATTACAAAGCTCATTACAAAATTAATATAATTCTTAAAAACAACCCTGATGTAAGATAACGAAGTTCTAAATGGTATATTCACATAATAATTGATGATTTCATGCCACGTTTATCACACATAATCATGTAATGAGCTTACAGACGTGTATTTCGTTCGCAAGATTCACCGATGAGTTATATGTACCTCGATACAGCGCAAAAAAAAACTTAATTTAAATATCCATTACAACTATCACAGTTTGAGGTCGCTGTAAATCAATATCTCTCGCCTGTAACGACGCGCTATATCTTATGAAATTTTCATTCAGAGAATGGAAGGATAGGCGTGGAGGACACTTGGGTAGTTTTGTTTACAATAAGATTGAGGTAGAATCCAATCTGCAAATAAATACAACTTTTGATCCGCATATGCTATAAGTGAGGGGCTACTTCCGTCAACAATAATGTAACATTAAAAGTAATACGTAGCGTTAAATTGACGCCGCGACAACGATGACGGTGACGATGATAATTATGACAATGATGGCAATGATAACAATAATCATAATGACGATAATAGTAATAACGATAATGATAATAATATAAGGATGAAAAGTAATAATAATAATAATAATTCACAATAATAACTAGTACAACAACGGTTAATGTTTTTTTTTTCTGCAATATAATGGCTGTATGCATTTGTATATATATACATATATATTTATGTATATGTATTCGTATGGTGGGGGGCAAAGATTGTGACAGCTATGTACAACACATGCTTGCCTTAGTTGTACCATTTTTATATTATACGCACCTATACCCGCCGCGTTAATTATGGTGACAATAATAATTAATAATATCCGCTAATGATGTGATAATCAAAATAATTACAATAATAATAATCGTAATTATATTAGTATCGTTTGTTCATAAAATATCCTATATGTAACATGTATCTGCAATAATAACTAGGTATGCAGTATGTACGTAAGGAGGATGTGTTCGGATAGGATATGTCGATAAAAACTATGTTATACCAAGCGTTCAACTTTTTATTATCTCTGCTATATCGTCTGTCTTGTTTCTTCTGTTGTATATATATATATTTTTTTTTTCATCGTTTTTCGCAAAATGACTATTACAAAAGTGCACGTTACTCGCGATTCTTACATTTTACTTTACGTACATACATAAATCGGCGTAGATCTACCTACATCTTCATTGTCGTTTATATTAGTTCGGTAGCGTTTATTATTTCCTTTCAGTTATATATATATATATATATACTTTATTCTCCCTTAACGGAGCGCTACGATAATCCCCTTGTTTACACCATACATACATACGTACGTACATACATACACACTTGCGGGTGTATATAACACGTGACATGATACTTTCTACGCATCGACGGTACATAGGTATATCTTATCGTCGTATTCATAATTTTGTTCCTCCTGTGTGATTTTTTTTTTTTACACGATATTGCTGACGCGGGTACGTGAAATACCGCGGCTAACCAGCAACCCTTGCTCCTTCCACTTCCCTTATACCCACCCGTTACTCGCCAAGGATTCGACGACACGCAATTCCGGACTTGCTTTCGTTCGTCCTTTTTTTTTTTTAATATCAAGGCTTTTAGGCACCGTTCAAAAACTCGAGTTGAGAGAATTATTAGCGATAGAGAAGAACTTACGCTTGTACTTACGGCCTGGTGACTCTTAGCACCCCCCCCGATAGACCAGATTTAACATGTATTAACCCTTCACAGCTCGTAGGAGAGAATCAACGTAATACGGTATACGGTGATCGGAAGTTAACGGTGAGATACATTTAGAGCGAGCTAGGAAATAATTATATAACGAACATGATAATATGACGGACAACGTTAACATTACCGTGTATAAAAATTCGAAAACTATTCCCGATTTCACAAATCAATCTCGTATCTCGTTTCCAAACTTAAGACATATACGTAACAGGACTAGTATCATATGTAAATTATGATCCACGAAAAATCTTACTTTAAAACGTACGTTCGTAGAACGTCTCGAACTACATAGAACTTTTCCATAAACATATTGTGGACCTCCCTTACATCGTGATCTATCACCTCTGTGCATTATTATTGCGAAAGTGCGACGGTGAAGCTGTAAAGAGTGAATGCAAAGCGCGCACTCCCGCCGTCGTTGCAAAAAAAATATCGTTGGACGAGGAAGACCGTTGTTATATGCAGTATATACATGTGCAGATTTCGTGCATGCGAAAAGTGTTTCAAATCTCTTGTCGGGTCGCTACAAAAATATCAATATATCTCAAATAAAAGGAGAAAGCCGACGGAACGCCGTCTAAACGGCGAAATGCGTCCGTTTTCGTCGTTTCCGTCTCCGTCTAATGTCTCTTGTCGAATCGATTATTTCTACTGCGATTCGGAAACGCTAACGTGACATTTTGTATCTCTCAACGTGGTTGTTCAATCCCGACGTGCCTTCTTGTGTTTACGTCCTTTCCCCTCGAGCGATCCGCTTGACGCGCGCCGGTACACTTTGTACATCTCTTTTACATTCGTATTAAATCTAGTTCGGGGCGCGTGGGGCTCAAACGAACCGCTCGAGTCAAAACGATCCACCGCCTCGATGACGGAAAAGAGCGACGCGCGTATAGTCGCTTCGGCGACTATTCTCCATCCCTCGGGAATAAAAAGAAAAACGGAGCGCCTATTTTGTCGCGACCGCCACCCGCCGAGGAATATCCCTTTATTGCTGTAATTCAATGTTGCGCTAATATTCTTCCCTCACGCGGAAATATCCCTGCCAGATCCCTCCCATCCTCTTTCCACTCCCTGCTTCACTCGCCCGCGGAAAGATTGCTTTGAGAATCATTGCCCTGACAATAGTTTATCTGCTACGTATTCGTGTATGTGTGGGTGTGTATATGTCGCGCGTCTCCGTGTCCGTTCCAAACTAAAGCCAGTACTAGAAGTGCGTGTCCCTTTTTTTTTCTTAATATATATATATATGTATATATATTCCACCGTGGACTCTGCGACACCTACAAAAATTCCTACACTACTTTATTACGCAGGCCTCTATAAGACTTACGGTAGCACAGTAAACCCCTATAAAAATAAGAGCTATCCTACGTAAACGTATTACAAAAATAAATGGCATTGTACTCTGCTAAAGAAGCAAAATGGTACAGGCGCAATGTCGAGCGACGCGAGCATTATCAATTTAATTCCCCCCTTCTCCCCCATCTTTTCTCTGCTTCGTCAAGTTCCCTCCGTGTTCGGTTTTTTAAGTGTCTTACCCCTTAACCCCTTCGTTCGTCGGATTCCGAGACCGATTTCGTTAAATTCGGAAGTTCGAATTCCTTCTTTTCTTTTTTGTTTCTTTTATCATCCATACCCGCCCCTCCTGCGAGACCTTCCTCGATCGAATCCCCTACTATGAAAGTCAGGTTTAATTACATCACGTGCTGCTCGTGCCAGGCGACGCGAGGGTATAAAACGTTAGCCCAGGTGCGCTTACCAGGGCTATCACAAAGTACGGAGTCGATCGCACGGCACGATATAGCACTTGGTAAAGGTAGTCGGACCAGGAACTGGCTTTTTAAAGTATCGGGAATGAAACGTGGTCCGTTAAAACATTGTCGCTTTCTTCTATGGTATTGCTATTCATTGGAGCATTCAGAGAAACGTATCTAATCCCTCTCACGCGTAAACCGAAACGCCGATTATCAAATTGGTCCTTTCCTGGCTGACATCTTCTCTGATTTAATAAGAGATCGAACATAGTTACATGCGTGAAAAAAAATATCGCAACGGAGATCCGTTTTTCCTTTTCCAATGAATAATGCAAATTTCAGAAAATGGCAATATTTCCAAGGACGACTCTGTATATGTGTATAGGAGAAGTTTGGTAAGGGTGCCACCACCAATAGTTCCACATTTCGGTTTAAATTCACTGAAAGGATGCATCAGGAAGATACGTGCAACTACCAGCTAAATTGTATAAGAGTATTTAGGATATTAGAGTACGTGATACATTCGAGATGATAGCTAATCAACGTAACGAAGACGAACTATCTAACATTGACAAATATAGAGCGTTCCAAGATTTTTATCTAATAATCGATCGATTAGTTCGTTAGTTGATATTGTCGTATGCGCGCTGCAAAAAATGGGGAACAAAAAGTTAAACAGTCTCACAATCACAATCGTGAAATGAATATAATATTTTTCTCAAATGTGTGTTTCCTTTTGATCACATGCTTTCTACGTTTCGTTTCCTTCCTCTTTCTCTTGCCTGAATATGCATATTATGTTACTTTAAATAAGGAAAAAAATGCCATAATACATATCTATAATGAAATGAAGAACTTTTGTAATAAATCGATCGACAAAATAGCATAACGATATAAGAGTATTCCAATAGAATTGTACAATTATAATAGTTCGTCGAACCGTATCTTTTTTATGTTAATTTACTCGCGGTTTCAAAGATGATAATTCCTTGTTTTTTTTTATCGCAATGTAACTGCCGCACGATTTTTTATTCTCAATTTAGAATACAAAAATACGATTAAAATTATTTATTTCTATATAAAAGACATTTTTTACGAGTATTATAGTAGATAATAATACTTTTAAAGGTCCAGCAAAATTCAATTTTATATGAAACATAACAAAACGTATCGATTATATTCTGTATATAAAAAATCTATACAGAAAAATAATACATTAAAAAATATACAACGAACGTAAATCTCTATACGTAAAAAAATCACTTTTTTTCACACACACATATACATATATGTTATGTATATAATATATATTTCATTCCTCATTTCATTATTAAATTATAGAAACATATGGTTGCATATGTTACACATAAACAACATAGTATATAAATAAATGTTCTAATGGGATATACTATACTACTAGAAAAGATACGACTTGAGAATTCCAAAATATAGTAAAATATTTAAAATTTTTTGTTTCTTATTCTAAATACGATTGTGTAAGATTTTGCAAATTACGCAGATAACTTAACATCAACACCTTTCCACCCTCGACGTAAAACCAATTTTTGTCATGACTCGAAATCTTCTTATCTCCATGACTGTATGGCATCCTAGAATCCACAAACTGACATTCATTTAATTTAACGCATGATGATTTTTGTTGTTTAACGCATTGCGATCGCTAGTTGCATTTGCTATCAATATCACCGATCTATCATGTTCAAACGCAAGAGAGCAACGTCACTGAGAAATGAGCGTAAAATTATATATCTATAAGGAAGAGTTTATGAGGTATTTCAATTAAATTTTCACGATAGCAAGAAATAATTTAAAAAGATAATTATAAGTGTCGATACTCCAATCTTTAATACCTCGAATCTTCATTCATTAATTTATCTATCGGTCAAATTAAAATAAATTATTTTATTATGCATTTGATTAAAATAACTTTTCTTTTAGTACTTTTTTTTTAGCGAGAACTGAACATAATAACGATGGAAGAATCTAAAAATAAAGTCGTTAAAGATAACTCTCATTTACATCTCTTCCAATATAACACAGCTATCAATTTTATGAAATGACAGAGATATTGTAGTAAAAATTAATTAATCGTCATTGACACGATAATTTGAGAAAAGTGCGGAAGAATTTCATGAATCTATGCTTTGCATAAAACAAATCCTTAGACTGTAGGATATATATCCTATATATGCATAATCTCATAAATTATAGTAAATGATTCATTAGATACAAATATTTTATATAAATTATTATATATTTTACAAAATACAATAACATTAAATATATAATGAATATTATTCATTGATATTATATAAATAGGGTAAACTCGGGTAAGATGGCTATACAGGAAAGATGGCCAACCCGTGTTCATTCGATGTTTCATGGCGAGCTATAGATTGAAAGAACATAGGTTGGCCATCTTACCCGAGTTTACCCTATATAATGAATTTTGAAAACTAATTTCTTTACAAGTTGCTTAGATAATAAAAATGTGAGAAAATACCTAATACTGTAATGAATGGCAAATAACAGCATTTATATTTCAAATGCGCGAAAAGCTAAACGATACAGCAATCTCAAAATCTTTATTTATAGATAGCTAGATTACCCATTCTTTATCGCTCGTTTACTATTATCTGTAATAATCGTCTTTCTTCCGCACTGCAAAATAAAAAATGTGGATAGATAATATAACGATTACACTGCAGAATATCGCTATCCTGGAAACTAAGTAGCACTAAATTTAATATAAAATCACAGGATATGATCACTAATGTTAGATAAAAATTTACATGAGTACACATTTTTGTTGCTCGTATATCTTTCGGAAGTTAAAATTAAATACCATAATTAAAATTAAATTAAATATCAACTTTGCGCTCCCGATTCCAAATAAAAATTTTTAATGCCACTGGCAATGTAAATTAATGTAATAAAATATAATCACAGACATAAATCTGACCAGCCAATTTTTAATAGCAAGTATATTGTACATGACTTTTTTACGGAAACTTATAAAATGTATCTTCATCACAAAGACATATTGTCCAAAATACTTGGTTAACAGACGCGTTTTGCATACGTTAAGAATATGCAGCAAAACATTCACAAAATGAGTTGATACTATCTCTTTTACATTTAATGCTTTACATATAATGATTTATATTACATTTCTTCATGTATTACAATTTTTCACGAATATTGTTGTTATTAGGTCAAATAATTTAATATTCTTCACGTGAATATTGTTTCACCCAGAATCGAAAACTCAGAATATAATCGCTGCCCCTTATTGTATTGCTCTCCGTACAATAATTTCATAAAACCACAAAAATATAGAAAGTTCGTTTGTCATTTGTCGATTTTTGCGCGGTTGAAATTTTGTTGAAGAAACCTAGCCACGTTTACGTAAAAAAGACCAGTACCTACTGTGTATTTCCTAACGACGTCGTTAGATATTAACGCATATTCAGCGAAGACAGCATTTGTGCAGGAGCTGAATGGCAATCGAATCGATCATTAGATCCAGCAGATTATATATATCGAGTATCACAAGCTATAACAATTTCTTCAGCTAAACACGCTCGTTATCGCAATGACGGGAATTAACATACGATTACTATTCAGATAAAACTGCATGACTTGAGGATACAAAAGTCGCTCTCGATCTCTCGTATTCGTAATAAAATCGCCAATGCTCGCAAAGAACCGTGAAATTCGCTACGCGGTAACTTGCCGAACCGTTTCACGTGGAAGCTTTTACGCCCCTGTCTCCCCAGCGCAATACGTCTTTTGATTCCCTTATCGATTACACTATGTTACAAGGTGCTCTCAGAATTTTCAAAATTGCAAAGTTCACGAGTCGTCTCTTTCCCTTTCATTGCGATTCGCGACGGCCTGTCACATATTCTCGCATCCTCGATAATACGATGACCAGGATACCCTAACGTCGAATTTTTCGTACAAATAATAAGATTGATCTTAGCAATCTTACGCCAGATCGATGATTGATGTAAGATCAATTGATCTCTGACGTTGTAACGCAAAGTGGAAAGAGCGAATTAATATTAAGTCGTGCGAGGTCTCCGTCGCGACGATAATCGACTTTCGAAATACCGGAAATAATTCCAAGACGTCATAAGGAATATCAGTCGTAGAGAACAGAAATAAGCCAATGAGTATCCATCTTAGTCACGAGCGGGAGGAAAGTAGAACAAAGAGTTGATATTACAATTCTCGAACTTTTTAATGTCAATCATCTACGATTTCGGTCAGGCGTTAGAGTTATCTCCATCATAAATACACATATCCGCGACTTAGCACGCTATCTTTTGACAAAGACAATCATTTCGAATACTTAATCATACATAAAATTAAAAGATCTTTCACGCTTATCTAAATAAAAAAAGGGGGTAATAAAAAGCATCGAAATTGTCTGATAACTAAAAAGAAAAAAATTTGTAGACATGGACACCAGGGAAGGCAGGAAAATCGAGGTGAATGAACAAAGAAAATGTGCAATCTCGCATTCTACGTCGAAGTATTCGCTCGTCTCGCGCGTTATGTGTAAGTATATATAGCACTTGTAGACGTATTTTTTCCGCGCTTTAGAAGCGCCGCAGAAACGTCATCTTCCTTTTTTTTTCTTTTTTTTTCTTCATTTTTATCTGCCATATATACATATGTATTGGTCCGACGAGGGCTCTCCCGAAGGAAGGACCTGTCTTCCACCTCCCCACCCTCCCTTCCTTCTTACGAAAATACACATTTTTTTGATATACATGTCGCGAATACCAGAACTCGAAGATACGTCCGCGAGGAAAAAAAAAGCGGTCGGTGTGTGTGAGATCGTTATTTACCGGATTCGAGAGTTTCGATACGTCAGTGCTGGGCAATCCTAAAAAATATACGCATACAGCCTATATGTACGCGACATACTGTCTGAAATAGCTCCTAATTCTATACGTATTGGCTAACAGCTAACACAGTTAAAAATCTCACTACATTTTTCAGGACGCTGATGTTACTGACTACGATCGTTTCTGGCTGAAATTTGCCGGTCATCGCATTCACTGGAGAGATGCAATCGCGACGCTCGCATTTTTCTAAGCATTGGGAATCGTTGCCGTTGGCGAGCGCGATCTTTTTTTAGATTGCGAATTTGTCGCCCGTAATTGAAATTTCGAAACAATCGTTTTGTGCAATTCCAGTCTTAACGTTTAAGAACGCAAGTAAACAAGCTCTTTTGCTGATTAAACGAATGCACGCACGTACATTATCTCCTATTTGCGCGACCATATTTAAATATCATAAACAGAAAAACAAATAGCCTTCGTAAATTGCGCGCATCAACGACTGACAATTCGTTTCGGATTGGCAAATAAATCAGCTTAAAGCGCATTAGATAAGATAAGAGTAGTTTCTCTGAAAAAGCAAGCATCTATTTCAAACAGTACGATCGTTATATAAAAATTTATAAAACGTAAACCCGCGCCCCGCGCGCACTCGTATATATATAAAACTCTCTTTAAACACTCGCACAAATTGCGAGTCCTCCCGATAACTTATGATACCTACATATATATGTCTTTGCCCAACACTGCGAAGGTATGCGTCTAAAACGAAGAAAAGGGAAAAGAAAAAAAAAGAAAGAGATCGTGAGTGAATAATTAACCGATCGACCGGAACTGCGATGTTTAAATATTCCTAAGGCTATCTAATTTCACTTTTACTTACATATTTATAATAAACTACAAAATATATATATATATATATATATTTATATCACTATAATTAGGAGCTGCGCGGTCATATGCACGGAGGCTTTAATCACAGCTTTGTAGTACACTTAATATCTCGTAGAGCTGCCCAATGACTAGCCGACAAAAAAAAAAGATCAATTGCTTTCTCTCATTGCACCTCGTTCCTCAACATAATTGCGAACCAAAAATCGCGCGTTCACAATTTTTCACGCGTAATTAACTTAATCGCTCATTAAATTTTAATCAATGCGACCAGTCGCTTGATTAATTAACTACACGTTAATTAATGAAACGATGGATTACGTTAACCAACTGCCCGGTTACTTAACTCATTTCGTCCACGAACATATGCATTTTTACGCGGCTCTTCTTCATCAATGAAAGACTCTATCGCACTATCCTCTTTTAAGCGCGCTTACATGCGCCTCAAATAGAAATCAGAAAGAACAAGAAAGAATATAATGAGGAGAAAACAAAATAGACAAAAAGGAAGAAAGAGAATAAACATTTCGTATCTTGTAGTTCGTTACGATAAAGATCAGTCTTGCCCAGGTGACTTCGCATCCTCCTTTAAATCGAAAGCCTCAGGCATACGCGCGCAGGATCATTTTGATCATTTCACGATGTGAAAATTAGATCGCTGAAAGGAAGAGTCTAAGAGATAAAAAGAGAGAAGGGAAAGAAAAAAAGAGAAAAGAGAGAACCGCACAATAAGGGGGTTCGAGGCACGCTAGCGCAAATATATATAGCTTCTTTCGATTTGTGTACCTTTTGTAGCTCTACAACGCGGTTTCGCGCGTGCTTAACGCGCAATTATTGATGAATTGCATTTACACGTGTGGTCGCAGTTATCTCGGATTTCGATTAGCTCGAAGAGCGACGGCCGCGTTTAAGATGCGTGCACTTTGAGATTTATTCCCAATTCTA